GATTTTGCTATAGGTTGAAATTTGTTCATCAAAGTGGTATATTGAACTTCTGGCCTTGAGTGCCTAGGAATATAACCTATTTGGAGCAAGGTTCTTTATAAATGAAATCAAATTAAGCTGAGGTCACTCTCCATTTGGGTGGACCCAGCCCAATACAAAGGGGTTTCCTTAGAGGAAGAGGAGACACAGACATGCAAACACAATTGCCACTTGGAGGCAATGCGGTCATCTCAGAAGCTGAAGTGGTTATGCAGAAGCTGTGGATGCCAGTGACAGACACACTTCTTCCTCCCAGGAGTGATAAAAACATAAGGGGGAGTCACACCTGCAGGATACACAATAACTTAGCTTCTTTAAGCCACTCAGTATATGGTTCTATGATACAGTTGCCCTGGGAAACTAATACAGACACGCTCCTCCAACCATAGCACCTTGGGCAGTACCATCAGTGTACAAATTTATATCGAGTAATGTTCTGTTTAGCTGAACTGATCATATATCATTTATAATGCCATCAAAAGTAGGCTATGGGCAGATTCCAGTGAAAACTCACTCTTTTTTTTCTTCATCTAGCACTTCATTCAATCCTCCATCCCCAACTGAGCTTCTCACTCTAATAAGTTGTAACTATTTGGTGAAACAATGTTTAGAACATGTTTCTGAGTATGTCAAAAGCATGTAGAGATCTACCATTAGTCTATTTTGTCAACAAACTGAATTGCCCCCTATATAACTGCAATAAATTGGTCTAGATTCCCACATAGGGATCATGTTAGTTTGTATCAAATAGTCAGTTTTTGACTGACACTTCAACAAGTGCAGTGTCCCCCCACCAGACATATTTCCCTGCCTATGGAAGTAGAGTGGAGGGGTGCTAATCTCCCTCAATGTACCCTACAAAGACGGGAACAAAATGGATCCACATTTGCTGCCTTACACAACTAGAATCTGTCCAGCTTTAGCCTCATACTTTCTATTTGCAACTATGTACAGCCTTCTTTGGAGAAACCCCCACCAGTAAAATAGGGAATTCTGAATGAGGAAGGGCTGCAACAGAACACCTGGCCCCAGATCTTTATTTTAATACAGACCTGGGGCTGTGTATTGGTTCACACCTGTAACCTTAGCTATTTGGAAGGCTGAGATCTGAGAACTGTGGTTTGAAGACAATTTGGGCAGCAAACTCCCTGAGAAAATATCTCCAATTAACTGTCACAAAGATGAAAATGGAGCTGTAGCTCAAGTAGTAGAGCACCAGCCTTGGGCAAAAAGGATAAGGACACTGCCCTGGCCCTGAGTTCAAGCCCCAGTACCAGCAAATAATAATAATAATATGAAGAAGAAGAAGAAGAAGAAGAAGAAGAAGAAGAAGAAGAAGAAGAAGAAGAAGAAGAAGAAGAAGAAGAAGAAGAAGAAGAAGAAGAAGAAGA